TGTTGTGGATTTTGCTTGGAATCTTGATGTGATGCATGGCTTTGTTGAGTATCTCGTGCCTCATTGAGTCATAGACCTTGCTGATGTCTTGGCTAAGCATCCATAGTTTTTAGTTAATTTCCTTTGCTTCTTCTATTATATGATTGATGATTGTGATGGGTTTGTATGTACCATCTTCAGGAAGTCCTGCCCAATTAAAAGGTGATAGGATTTGATGTGAGAGAAGAGTTTGTGCGAGCCTGTTGTTAATTATTTTTGTAAAGACTTTTTTGATTGTTTCTAGGAGTACTATAGGACAAGTTTGGCTAAGATCATGTTGCCAGTTCAAGTTTTTTGAAATGGGATATATAAGGTTGTATTGCCATTTCAGAAGGATCTCTTCTGTTTGTATAATCTGATTGAAGAGTGTTGTGAGTCTTTTAATGCCTGCCAGGCCTATGTGCTTAAAAATTGCATAATTTATTTGAAATTTTCCTAGAGCTAATTTTGCCTTTGACTTCTTTATTATTTTCTGGACTTAAGCATTTGACACTTCCAATATGCATTTGTCATACCATTTTTCTAAGATTTCCAGTTTGGGGGAAAATTCTTGCCTCCAGTGGTTCCAGGGGTAATATTTAAGTAAGTGATTGTTGAAAGTGTTTTGCCACCTCTTTTTTGATTTCAGTTGATTCTGTGATTACTGTAATGAGATCACCCTGAATCAGTAGCTTGTCAAATGATATGTTGTTATTTTCATGCTCAAGAATTGATTTGATCATCTTTTTCTTGTTTGTGGACAAGTGTAAAAATCTGTCCTCTATGCATTTTTGAATTTTCTCTTGAATTTTTTTGTTTATCAATGCTATAAAGCTTTTGTAGACTGTTTTCTATAGGTTCTTAACCTCTTCCAACCAAATGCGAGCTGTAGGTGCTTGATGGTCTGGTTCTTGCCATGAAGATTCTTGGATTGATGGTGTCCCTTGATTAATCTTGTCGATGGATTTGCGAATGCTTGTGATAATATTTGCTGTTTTGATATTGTGTTTAAAGTATTGTTTTCCCTTGCTATATAGTTTTCTTATTTCTACTACTTTCTTTTCCTGTGGTGACATTACTTTGTAGGCCATTGTCACTTCTTTTCTTTTAATCTTAATTTTTGAGAATATGTTTTGACCTAGCTATATTGATTGTCTCCCACGTGAGGTTCCAGAGTTTATTGGGTATTTTGTTTTTCAAGTCTGTTTGTTCTTCCTGTTGTTGAAAAATGATTTGTAACTTCTCTTGGAATTTCTTCCATTGTTCTGTTGTTGTGCTGATTGTGATGTATTTGATTTCTGTTTGTTTTTTTGATTGGTTTTTGGAGGTTGTGTGAGTATTGGGAAGGAAGATCATTGCTTGGATAATCGCATGATCGCTGTTAGTCACCATTGTGGCTGAGCTGATCTTTACTTCTGTGAGGTACCAGTTGTTGTGTTTAGAAATCCAGATATAATCTATTCTTGAGATTGCTTCTCTGGAGTTCTGCCAGGTGAAACCTGGGGTAATGGAGTTAAGTGTCCTGTAGCAATCTGTATAGTTTAGATTTTGTAATACCTGCAAAGTTGTTGAAGTGGGATGTTACAAGTTGTATTTCTTGTTGATTGTTGATTTGTGGTCTATATAGGGATTTATTACTGAGTTGAAGTTCCCTAGGATAATCGTATTCCAATTTTTTTTATGTCTGTTAAAGATTTTCTCCTTTATTCACTTGTTAACTTCTCTTTTTTCCTATCCGTTTGCTACAGGTATATAGACTCCTAATATATCGATATGTTTTTTTTCCTAAACTGAATATCAACACTTATTCCTCTGCTTGGGTATTCTTTTGTTTTTCCAATATGCTTGCCAATATCTTTTTTGATTATAAGTATAATACTGGCTTCTTTGTTATTGTTACTCCAGATTATATTATAATTGGGGTGTTTCCAAAATTTGTAGTTATTGCTTTGCACTTATGTTTCAGTAAGTGTTGCTATATTGATATCTCTTTGTGTGCAATAAGTAAAGAAGGTTTGCCATTTGATGAGGTCATTGATGTCTCTTACATTGTGTGTAAGTATTTTTTATGTAGTTGTAGTTTGTTGTGAAGATATAATATTATGGTTGATATCTGTTATTTCAGTTGTATTTGATAAAGATGATGTATTAAAGGAGTTTCCTATTTTACTATTCTCATTGTTCTTCATATGTAGTGAATTGTTGAGGTGTATTTGTGATAATATCAATAATTTGATTGAGGGTACCTATTACACTTTGGAAAGTGTCATCTATGTTTGCCATGCGTGTATTAAGGTTGATTTGTTGTTCTCTAATGTTAAGTATATCTACTGCGGGGCTTGTCACTTGTCTTTTGTGCTAATAATTGAATTCTCTTGGCTCTGATATACTTGTGCGAGATGAATTCTGATCCAAGTATTCCTTGTCAAATCCAATGGCTGCTTCCATTTGTTCTTTATCATCCACTGTATAGAAATATGCGAATTCCTCCAAGTTGTTGACTCTATTGTTGAGGTTATTAATGGTTTCCTTGATCTTTTAAGCTCTGCTTCAATAGTTTGTATAACCTTGAGGACTTTGGTTAGGGATGAATAGAGGTTGATCATTGCTGTTGGATTGTTGACTGCTAGGTTAGATCCATTGCTGGAGGATTGTCTGATGATTTGAGCAAAAGTTCCTTTGTTTACGAATTTGTTAAAGGCTTTATTGAATTGTTTCCAGGCTCTAAGGCAGTCCTGATTGGCTGGTTTGTATGGTTGTTTGGGTGTAATTCTTCTAATGTTTGTGGTTCCTGCTGGTTTAAATTTCTGATAGAGTAAATTGTACCTTTTTGTTTTTTCTTTGAGCCTTTGTGTTTCTCCTGACATTTTTCTTTGATTATATATTTTGCTGTCAGGTGGTCTGCTGTACTGCAAATTGCGCAAAGTTTTTCTTCTATCTCATGCCAGTTAAGGGGTGTTTCTTTCAAATATACTTTTTGACTTTTGGCCTGTTCCTTTGCTTCTGCTGAGGTGAAATTGAGAAAAGCGAATTTTTTCTTTGTGTAGTTTCGATTTTGGGGGATATTGCATGATACTGCCTTAATGGCGCTAATAATATCACGTAGATTATACCCAGTAGTTTCAGGAGGAAGATTGATAAGCCTCAGGGTGTATTTATCCCATTTTTGTTTGATCTCAAATGTTTTTAAAAAAGGATATATTCTCAGGAGTTCTCCTTTAAATGGAATACTCCATCTTGTACAAATTTTGTTATAGTCTTTTTGTTCTGCAAATTTGATTAGCGCACATTGCCACATGTCTGTAGTACTTATTTTGAAGCTTTTTATCTGCCCAAATTGAGTAAGTTTTTGTTTAATTTCTTGTTTATTGGTGTTTAGGGGTATATCCCAAACATGGATTGACCTCTTATTGGCTTCTGTTAGGTCAAGATCGACCAGTATGGCCATATGGTGGTCATTATTTTTTTGGATTGGCAATTTGCATGCTTTTTGTGTATTTTTTTATTGGTAAAAGATATAATGATCAATTTTGACCCTGTTGCTATGCCACATGGGCACCTATGTAGGAGTCAAGTTGAGAGACTGTTTCTTTGACTGTATTGAGTTTTTCCTCCATGGTACCAGATAGATCTTCCGTCTGAATGGCTGTTTTGAAGTGAGAACGGCCATATTGGATACGCCAGTCTGTGTGTGACCCATAGGGGTATCTGACCAGCTTGGGTGATTGGTTCTGGATGGGCGGGGTGTTTTCTGCCTCACTCTCTGGGTCTGTTAGTGTTGGGTTCTCATCAGAGTTGCCAAAAGTGGGTGAAGTGAGTACCTGCTAAGGTTTTTCTATATCCATCTGGATGTCTACTGTTTAGTTAAAGGAGACATCTATCTCTCCTTTATGGTAGCTATCCAGCTAGGTGACTGGCTGTTGCTTGCTTCAGGTGCTGTTAGTTGCTGTTATTGCTTTTGTTTTTATTGATTTTTGGCTGCTAGGGGTTGTTACTGGATGGGGAGGGCCGTTTCTTGCTTCTGAAAATGTTGTTACTGTGTATTGCCATGGCAGGTGAGCCTTTGGACAAGCTCCTGACTGATTACTGTGAATTTTAGGCAAATCTGAGTAATTAAAAAAGAGTTTTTTGTATAGTAATGTAGTTTAGATATCTATTATTAATAAAAAATATGTATTATTATATAATTTGTCTTTTAAAAATAAAAATAAAAATTAAAAATTAATAATTGATAATTATATAGTAAAATTAATAAAAATTATATTTCAAAAAAATATTTTTTGAATTAAGCAAATTAGAAATTTAGAAATTAATTTTTGACAATTGCCTTATTAAAATATATCAAATTTTTATTAATTAATATAAAATGATTTAAATAGTAACATATAATTTTTTAAGAATTTTTGATTATATAAATTATTTATACTATATATAAATCAATTTTTAATAATTTTCTAATTAAAAATTTATTAAAAATAATTTCTAAAATTTGATTTTCTTCTAACAATTACAAAAACCTAAAAAAAATTAGAAAATTAAAAATTGTAATAAACCATTTGTCCTTATATTTTTAAAACAATTGAATTAAATTTGAATTTTTAAAAAAGAGGTTAATTTATTATGACTGGTAATATATTATTAATAAAATTATTTAAATAAAATAAATATTTAAATATTTAATTTTTTGTATATTGAAAAAGAAAAATTTTATTATTTATTAGGTTATAAAATAATTATTGGTTTTGTTTTTTATACATCACACCAATTTGCAAGCTTAACTAAAATTGAAAATATTACGTAGTGATAATCGAATGATGAAAAAATCGTGTAACATAAATTAACGAATAGACTTATTTATGTCACATGTCAATATCAAGGCTTATGTAATGCAAAAAATACGTGTATTAAATGTGTAACGTCTACACACTCTTACTAAATTTATGGTTTTAATCACCCATCTTAATATCATTAGCATAACTATCATGACCTTACCATGCCTTCCAGCCGATATCGTTTCTGAGACACTCGAGCACTTACACTCAGATCTAAAATCCATGCGCTCATGTATTTTAGTTAATCGGATGTGGTGTAAAGTAGCAATTCAGATTCTTTGGCGTTCTCCGTCGCACTATAAATCCCTTGCAAACTCATCGAAATTCTGGTCTCGCATCGCCTATACGGTTATTTCTTGCTTGATTCAGTCGTCTACTGGGAATTTAATTGAAATATTGGAGATGGAAAAGGATTCTTCTCAGTTCTCAAACCTTCGAAGTCGGACACCACCATTATTTGATTATCTTTTGTTTTGGAGATTTCTTTCTCTCTCAGATATCAGTAATATCAAAAAATACATATGTCTTGAAGACAAACCCACGTTTGTTGACTATCTCTTAGAGAGCGAACTCTATTGTAGTTTTTTGTCATGTGGTTCCCGAATAAAATACCTTGAACTTCCGTTCAATGTATATTTAACACAACATCCCGGAGTAGAAATCACATTATCAAATCTTCAATATCTACGCTGTGATGCCAACATCTCTTCTGACTATTATTATGAATTGTCGATTTGTTGTCGCACGCTTCAGAAATTATATATTGAAATTTGGGGTGAAGATAATGAAGGTCTGGCAAATTTGATTAGATCTCAGAAGGCGCTCAAGCACTTTGAGATCCACTCTCAGATAGTTCAGATATACCCAATGATTTCCGATGCATTGTGCACTCAGGTGAATTCGTTGAGGTATTTACGGATAATCGGGAATCCATGTTTTGAGACCGGTGTGATCGGGATGTTCAAGCATTTGACGACATTAATATTAGAAAACTTTAATCACAATGTTGAAATATTAGAACAAATGAATTTTCCAGAGTTGAAGGTTTTAGAAGTAGTTAATGATACAGTTACCCCTTTTGAAATTTACAAAGGAATCATCGAGAGTGCAGCTGGAAACGACTCGAAAAAGGGTGGCGGTGGTGGATTAAAAAGGATATACTGGCCATTAATGCATACGACAATCGATTTGAATCCGAGGGTTTATTCCGAATATGTGGTTAATTATTGTTCTAATATTTTATTTGTCTCAATTTACGTAAAAGAGAGTTCTCTAGCTGAGCTTGAAGTTTTACTGGTCCATTTGGATAATCTAGAAGGAATAGAAATTCAGGTAGATAGCAAAACAAGTCCATCACATCTGTTCAATTTATTGTCTACTAAGTCGCCCAGATCCCTTACAATGTTGTCACTCATGAATTTTGATAACGAATGGATGTTGACACCTGAAGAGTTGGATGTGTTTTTTCATGACTGGGGCAATAGGAGGAATGGAGAAGGCTTACGAATATACCTTCAACGAGATCTAATATACAGTTCTCATTACAAAGTGATTAAGAAGTATGGGAGAAAGGGAGTAATACAAGAGTTTATGGAGTATTTCCAAAGCATCTATGAGATAGAGGAGGTGAGAAAGAGATTCGAGCATGATGTATTTTCTGATTTTAGACATAGAATTTAGTAACTTTTACATCGTGATTTCATTTGAGTTAAAAAGAGAATGATGGCGTAAAAATGTAGATACAACCGTAATAATCATTGCACAATACTTAATTTTAATCAATACACGAAACGGAATGGTTGTTTCTATAAGCGTAGGTTTTTACCTGTATACCAGCGTTATGGATAGATTAAAGGCTTGGACTAAACTACAACCGAAATAACCACAAATAGGTTTAGACCAAGAGCAACTGTAACGAGTAACTTTCTAACCTTGGATTTCGGAAACTTTTTTTATAATGTAATAATAGAAATAGAAGTTTTTATAATGTCAAATAAATTCTCAGATGGCATTTATGCAAACTTAAAATATCAACGAAATAGTTGCGCAGCAAAATATATAATATATAGTATATTTTTGAGGTAATGTGAAGGTGGAATTTAAGTTTCAATAAGGGATAAAACGAGTGGGAACGAGTGGTTGTATTGGAGTAAAAGAGGGATGCCGGAAGTTTGCAATAAAGTCAAGAATTAGTAAAAACTTACCAAATAAATAAGACAAATTACCTTTAACTGTATCTGTTTCACACGAACAGCTGGTCCGGGGTAGTGACAAACTCGTAGGAGACAATGACAATATAAACTGTTATTTATAAGCTCAAACTTGTATGTTTTAGCAGATTAAACGTCGAGCCATTAAACTTGATCGATACATTATTGCTTAGCATTTTTTGTTTTTTAAATAATAATGACGACTACCGCTATAACATTTTTTGTCTACTGTTGTCGTCACCGGCGAGTTTGTCGCTAATTTCAGCTTTTCTTTGCGTGACGATAATCCGAACGCCTAGGATTTTGCACTAAATAAGGTAAGGCTTTAACTCTGAGGTGGGTTACAATTTTGCCGTTCTCTTGCACTTGTCATTCTTCTTTTGACCATCTCTTCTAGGCGAGTCTCAATATTACAAGTGTCTCTATCTATACAGTGATAAGGTAACGTCTGTATCTCCCTTAAAATCGTTTACTTTACTTTAGTAACGTTAGTCCTAGTTATAATTCTTGGGACGTAAGTGTTATTGTGCGAAATAGGATAGTATTTATTTGATAAATCTAGAGGAAAATAGAAGAGCGTTCTAAAAACTCTCAATGTTACAAACTATGTAAAAACTATTCTATTTATATGCCTCACCCAGCTACAGCTATGACTAATTTATTGCATCATTCTGTCGTCATTTCCCTATTGTTATGCGACGCGTCTCAATTGTCGCGTTCACCTTTCAATTATTCCCACAACACTAACACTACAATAGATTCTTTTATACGGTACTGTGGGGAAAAACGGCAACTCAGTCGATTCTGGCAGGCTTAAGCCGCGAAAGAAGCGTGTAGATTTGATCGGACGTCGCGATAGTTTCATTTAATAAAGTATGAGTTATTACCCAACTTGTCATTTTTATTAAGTACACGTCACTCTTATGCGTTGTACTTTTATGCCTAAAAACCATCCATGCTAATTGTGCTAAATGTACTAATTTTAATTTACTCTAGAGGTCTTTTTATCACAACAGTAACCTTTTCTGGTTATTCATAATAAAAAAATAAAGTTTAACAAAATTAAAGAAAAAACAAAACTTTATTTGCTCTTTGTTGCATTCTTGCTCTAGCATTTTACTCATATCCGCACTACATGTTGGTTACAGTTCTCACAAAATTGAAATAATATACATGCACAAGAGACATATTTTTTCGATACCCGTATGAATATCTATTTGTTATTACTATTTATTTCTTAATGTACAACAAAGTTAATTCTTTTTGGCTTTACTTTTCTCAAAACTTTTTAAGGTTTTTATTTAAATTTTATTGTTCATGTAAGTATACTGCATTAATATTTGTTGTATATATACTGTATATTAAAATGAGAAATAATAAATTTTTTGGAAAAACAATTATTTCAGATTAATTACAAATGCAAATACATATACAGTAATAGGTAACAAACGATAAATCTAATTTTTGTAAAGGATTTATGTAAAAAAAAATTTTTATATACGTAATGATAATGAATTAAAAAAGAAATTCGTATAACATAAATCTTACCAATTTTTTTAAAAAAATTAATATTTTTACAATTTTTGAAAAAAACCCCATCTTATCAATTCAAGAAAAAAGGTATGAATTTGAATTAACGCAAGAGTTATATGCAGTATACAGTATATATAGATTTTTGTTATAACATCTATATAACAATGTATTGCAATAGACGTACGGTACATGTTATTTTTTTATCTAGATAAAATTGATCTATAAATATTTTGTTATGCAAAAGTTTTTTCCATTTATATTTAAATATGTTTACAAATTTTTTACCAATCCACCATATACTGTATAGTATATATACAGTATTTGCATTTTGTCATTGACTTGTATTAATTTAATTTTTTTTTTTAAAAAAAAAATAAATCTGATAATTACGGTAAACATTTTTTTTCTTATTTGCTATGCAATATACGTACGTATAAAAATACCAAAATAATTTTCTTGTTCATACCCATCCCAACATCGAATTTTACATCTAAAATGCGTATACGTAACGGTAACCGAAAACTCACCAATTTATCTTTTCTAATCTTTTGCTAGATTATTTTCTTTTGTTTTGGATTAAATACTGTATTTGATTCCTCCAAAAAATTCGAATTTAACCGGTGAATTTAATAATTGGAATTAAATTTATAAAGTCTCGAATGCTTTCTCCATTTTTTGGTTTAAACGAAAGGAAGCAGGATATCGCTTACTTCTCGCATTGCGGATGATTTGACACCATCGGAAATCTACCCAGGTGGCTATGTGCGTCGTACCATCACCTAAGTCCGAACATGAGGCACAGTTTACAGTAAGCATCGCCATATTCGCAACCATGTGTCAAGTGATCATATGCGAGAAGAGAAAAAACATATAATAAAATGTGATCGGAATTATCTTAGTGTAGGTTCCTTTTGTCAACATTGAGGATCCGATGCCCAACCATCTCTTAATGATCCATTGATACTTCCGAATACAATAAAAATATTTAGCACATTCTTCCAGCCCTCGATACATAGCCGATTCTAGAAGTCGATTTGTGGCTTATTATTCAACAAAAACAAGTCATAGGATTATGTCACGGGAATATTCTGAAAATGGTTGTATGGATCACGCACGCAGTTACCGAAAGAGAAAAAAAAATGATTCCATAATTCCAAGCGATTTATTAGATACATTGAAAAATTTCTCGAAACTTGTAGCTTTGCCTCTTTTAGAAATCATCGTAGATGACCGTGTTTCATGCATTATTGGACTTATGGATACCGATTGATTTTCTTCCGAGCTTAGCAGTAGACACGAAATTTAATAACCGATTCAAGCATTCGTATGGGTTTAAATAAATATTTGTGGCAAATATTCTTTATTATTTTCAGTTGTAATATTTTGGCGCATTATTTTCTCAGAACTATGCAACAGAAGGTCACATTGCAGAAAATTTGATATTATTCTAACATAGAGGATTTGACTTCTCAGGCGGATGCGAACAATAACAGAGCACGACATGAGTCATAAGGTAAATATTCATTAGCATTTTATAATAAAACATACCTTAGTGTTTATTATTTAATCAAAACAAAGTAGTATGACTGTTTATTTACGTGAATCTAACGCCACGAACAAAATTACCGAAGGCATTTACTTCATTTTGTTTGTGCATAGTCTTTTCGTGTGTTGTTCATTTTTTTATTTCTTCTGTTCACCCAAGTCTTGTTTTGTTTCCTTAAATGAATCATAAGAAAGTATTGCAATAGTCTGATGATAAATGACGCGTTAATTGCGAGATTAAAAAGCTTTAAACGTTAAAGAAGAAATTCATCGCTAAATAAACATTTCGGATTCGACAATTTCACGTAGAAGAAAAGAAGGAAGGAAATAATAATTCTCAAAGATGAAAAAACCATTGGGTAGAAAGCGAATGATCTGTTTTTACTTGTTAGTCATACCGAATATGATCCTGACATTTCTTTGTCCCGCGCTTGGTATGTATTTGTTTATGTTAATCGTACACTTTCTTTATGCTACTTTTATCGGGTTTGGTTCACTGTATCTATTCTCTTTTTCGCTCCAAATTTGTAGAGATAATGAAAATTGAATTATTTGATCAAACAAAGGGAGAACTCACGTATACCCCGTGGGTTGAATACTTGTAAGTGCTCGATTAAATGGGTTCTCATTTTCCATTTCTTTATTTTTTATTTCATCTTATTTTATTTATTATTCTTCGCCTTCTTAAATTATTCTACCATTTTTTTAGTATCCAATAATCATCCGTTTTTTAATATATCTTATAGATATGCAGTTCTGACGTGGGTTATTGCAGGTAGACCTTTTCTTTCAAACACACCCACAGCAATTTATCTCTAAACGCGTATGTTATTTTCCAGTTATGTTCATATTCGCATGTTGTTGCTGCTGTATCTGTGAGTGTGAAATAAAATTGCTGCTAAAGTAGGTCGGGTTTTTTATGATTGTTATCTGGGAATGGAGTAAGTACTGAAATTTCCATTGCTTATTTCAGAATAGAAATCATCGTTGGTGTAATTTTTCCAAGTAAGTTGGTTTTCTCTTTCAGTTACGCTAGTAGAGTCTTATAAACGTGTTATTGACCCACATATCTGCAAACATTTCCAGTAATCTATACTTATTTCACAATCGATGAAATGGGCGACATTCCTGCCTATTGTCCATCAGACTACCCCTACCAAGTGCCTATTACTCTACAGGCTTGTCAAATCCGTCTCGCGAACTTTATATGCATGTGGCTTTATTACGCTTCGTTAATTCTTTTAATACCCACGTGTTGGTCACTACAATCCTTGGCCGATAAAAAGAATTTACATGTAGATACTGGCGAGTATAGCAATTATGAGGGCTACAATACTGGTTGGGCAGGAATTGGAAAAGAGAAAAGCGGAAAAAGAAAGAGTTTTAGCGAGTCACCAAAATCCAGTGAACTTATATGGAGTGCGAGTCCCTTGGATAATAATATTACAGATATCCTAGGTAGTTTTCCGAGTGGAGTAGAAGCCGGCGGGAACGCGGAAGAGAACGCGTAAACCTGTGAAACCTGGAAATAAGCTATTTTCCTATGTCGATCATCGTTATTCGGAAACTCTATTTTTATTACTGTATTCGCGAAATATTATCTCTTACTTAACTTCGCATGTATGTGAACGACACAGGAGCATTTACTTTGCAGGTGGAAATTTAATATAATAATCAGTAATGTAGCGAAAAAGGGTTTTTTTTTCTGTTTATACAAGAAATTTCACACCAAAAAAAAAAAAAAAAAATTAGAGCTTACTGTAGAAATGTGTTACCATGCCATGTCCTCGGAGAAAAGATCTCACTATTTGTATTATAAGGCAGATTAAATAAATCCAGGTGGCTTATGCACCTATATTTTATATTTTATTACAGTAGAGTGAACGAAATATACTGTACATCTCAGATGTGCGATGTGAGATCGTCATACACAATTCTATAGGGTCGAGGTTTTGAATATTGATGCATCACAAAATATTGTCCATGTGCGCAGGTAAAGAGTTAAGATCTTGTGGCTTACCTGTATGTGCTTGTTTTTTTTGTTTATATTAGTATATTTCCGTCAGGCTCGACATCGGATTTACAAACAGTCAGTGTTTACATAAAACGATAAATAAAAAAGCTGACTATCAAAAAAACCCCCCAAACCACAGATGAAAAAAAAAAAATGATGGATACTGTGTCGTGATCAACAAATAAGTATTGATCACGACCGAGAAATTCCGTTGTTTGTAAAGATTATCCTTTTTTTTCCTATTTCTATTTTTGAGCAGCCAGAGCACGTTGATTTCTTTATGTCAATAATGATCAGTTTCAAATTTTCTTCTGCACTTGACAGTTAAATGAGGTACAAGGAAGTAATTTAAGAAACGGAATAATGAGCGTCCAAACAAGACAATGTCTCTTTTTATCATTGTTGATACCATTTTTAGTTTTAACGTTTGCGTGTCCAATACTTGGTAGGTTCCAACAAACTCAAGTCAGGTTTTTGGTTGTCATACTTTGAAAAATGCCATATTAACAAAGTTATTTTATGGTAGAATTAATGAAGATCGATGAATTTAATCAGACCGACGGATTACTAAGATATGATCAATGGGTCGAATATTTGTAAGCAGCCTTTATGTTCGTTTCCATATTTACACACTCAACATAAATTTAGTGTTGAAGAAATCTCTTTTTAATTAATTAGCTATTTTATATCCATCTGGGTGACAATCAGTACGTACGATCTCAACGATGAATGAGTGATCATCGAATCGAATCGAATCGCGTTCGAGTTCATTTATTCTTAGCATACTTCATTCATTTGAACCAAATCAAAGGTATCAACTGACCTTTTCATTTCATTTTTAATTCACGTATAGTAACGAATATGTGTTTTTGTTGTTTTTGTTGTTATTTTCCGAATCTCGCTGAATATAGGTAAGCCTAACCTTTCATTCCATACAATACTTTAAACAAGGTTTTAATTACCTTCATTAAACCTATGTATTTTTTCTAATTAGATATATTGTCGTGATTTGGCTAACCATCCCAAGTACGTACTATCATATTATCATATAATTTTACTTTATCATTATTTCTATAATCATTGGTCACGATTAAATACTTATTACATTCTCCGTATTACACTCACCAGTCATATATACTTACTTTACATCTAATGAAATGGGCGACATCCCATTCGCGTGCCCTTCCTCCTATACTTACCCCTCAGAGGCGGTCGAAGATGCCTGCAAAATCCGTAAGGGAAACCTGATCTGTATGTGGATTTATTATGTTATCCTTGTGATAATGACGATGACCGGATTTCCAAGGATATTTTATAATGTTGATGACGATTATAATGAAGATTTAAGGGAAGGAGGGATCATAGATCTGAGCGGTAACGAGGAAAAATCGTCTGGTTTGGAAACACTGTATAATAAATGAAGCCGATTTTTTATATATTTATTCATTAAAAACTTTAATTGACTAAAATTAGAGAATGCTTCTTTATATTTCTTCGGTTTTATAATTTGTCCAATGTATTTCATAAAAAAGAATAACTTCCGATAGACAATGCGAAATTAATTTATGATTAGATTTCTGGCATACTGTATACTGTATATAATAAATAAATAAATAAGTTTGCGTTGAGGGTTACAAGTAGGCCACCCTTATATATTTTCTAACAATTTTTTTTTGGTGGTTCCTATTTTTTACTATTTTTTTTACTTGATCTTTTAATTGCGATAAATTTTATTTATCATTATTGCTTGTATTCATAAAAAATTGTTAAAAAAAAGATGAATTTAAAAATAATTATTTATTTTATTCATATCTATAATTTTTTTAAAAAAATTGTTAATTAAAAGTGAATCGTTTTTTTTTGTTTAAAGTATACCAGAGATGAATTTTATAAATTATAAAAATAATAAATAAATATTTATTTATTTATTTAATATCGTGCAATTGCGTTTAAAAAATCATTAAAAAAAAAAATCATTAAATAATTTTTTGTGAAAGTTATAAAAATAAAGATTAAACGTTAATTCAGTTTTATTGTTAAAAAGATAATAATTTTTAAAGGTACATATGAATTTATTGATACCCGATGCGATCGTCAATAGTACAGTAACAGCTGACTTACTGAAAGTCATATGATATAACACGTAAAGATCTCGGTACAAAAAAAAAAAAAATGTCATTCCGCTTCGATTTTTCGGTAACTACTCTTTCCAAAGCACAATATCATACATATTATATATAATTCATGTACGATTCGTAACATCATGCTTTCTTTTTTATAACTTGATTAGCTTGCTGGTCTGGAGAAAGAAACAACTTCATTAAACGAAAATGCTGGAAACAACACTAAAACGACAATTCCGCCATCGAAAATAATTCCTTCAGGGGAATTATTTATCACAGACCTTGTAATGTACTTGTTAAGCACTCGCTGCGTAGTTCATTCGCGAATATTGGCTTTAACAATGTTCGATGGCTTACCAGGACATACTTCCTCAAAATTTAATGGTTGAACGAGCCAATTCCAGAATTTTGGCCGAACTACATGAAGATTGATCAGTCTCGCGCTCTTCTAGTTCGTCATCTTGTGCTATTTGAAATTTGACGTCGGAAAGGTGCCGTTTGTAAAGTTCCACGTTTTTTATTGAGAAATTGACTCGTTCAACCATTAAATTTTGAGGAAGTATGTCCTGGTAAGCCATCGAACATTGTTAAAGCCAA